AATTGTCAATGAATTTAAATTATTTGTTTATTTTAAATAATCAATGCACGAATGTATGTATATATATATACATATATATATATATATATATAAATTATATAATATAATATAATATAAATAAAGCTTAAGCATGTATGACGATAGTATCTAATAGTTATCAATGAATTTCAATTAATTATTTATTAAATAAATTATCTTTCTACGCTGTAACGGTACATGATAAATAAAACTTGAATATGTATAAAAGTAATGATTTATTGATACGATCAAATTTCATTGATAACTACTTTCAATATTACCGTTCATTTACTTATTTCTCTTTTCCCCTCTTCCTGAGACTGTATGTTACATTAAAATAGTCGATATTTCTGCCAATCGAAAATTCTCCTACGTAGTAACGAATGTATTAGTGATGTAACAATTTTTTAATGGCAATTAAAAAAAACAATTACAAAAGTAAGCGAAAATAAAAAATAGCAAGGCTTGTTCTTCTTTGTTTTTTGTTTTATTTCTTTATTTTTTTGTTTAACCTTTTAACTACGAGGTGACAGTAATAATCATTTGCTGTTCTGGCATATTTCTCGATTTTTATTTAAACATTTTTTTTTATCAAATATATATATATATATTTGAAAAATTCAATATCATTATATATATATATATATTGATTTTTTATTTATTATTTTTTATTATATATAGGCAACAAATAATTATCCTTTCGTTTATCTTTGACACACCAAACACGTAAAAACATAACCACGTTGCAAAAAGAAAAAGAGAACAGAGAAAAGAAAAGGAAAGAAAAAAAAAAGGAGAAAAAAAACAGAAAACGAAAATCAAGTTGAAAGAATTATATGATACAAAAAACTAATCGCATTAGTTAGATTATTTCGTGAACAATTTGGGAGCAATTAAACTTATTTAACCAAAGGTTAAATGAATTTTTTTTACTTCTTATATTACAAACAGAGAGTCGAACGATCAAATTAAAAATTCTCGTAACCATCGTAAGGTCATTGTTTTCTATTAATACATTGCCGTTCGCACGTCTCGTAAAAATTTATTTGCTTGGCGCTGGCAGTGCTAATTCGGATTATTTGGCTTGTCGCACAAGTAATTATAAAAACAAAAAACTTGTTGACGTATGTAACTTATTGTTACCTAAACAAAACACCAACAGAATGCAAAAGATACTAAAGTGGTGTCGCCGGCCACTGACCGATACTATGCACACACCACTGTGGTGTCGTCAGCCGTTGGCTGTTATTTTGCGCATAACACCATGGTGGTGTCGCCGGACGGCATAGTGTTAAAATCCTACGAGATTTCGTCCCGTATTTCTTGATGATACACTTCTGAAGTATGGATCAAATCTTTTAAGACGTCCTATATATATATATATATATATATCCTGCGATAGGAAAAAAAAAACAAAAAACAAAAAATAAAAACGAAATAAATAAAATAAAATATAACAATCTATTTGGCCGGAATATAATACACAAAATCGTTTTCATTTCATTTTCATATAATTCGATCTACAAGTAAATATCGTAGTCTTTCTGCTTTTTGTTGAAAGCATATAATCCAATATAAAGGAATAATTCTCGATTTATCGGACTAACGTAAACTACATATATATATATATATATATATATATATATATATATATATAAATGTATACCTTTCGCTGGTCGGTATAATCAAATCGCTTTCAATTCTCTCTATAGTTAAATCGAAATATCCGTATACTCTAAATGCCTAGTAATCGTTTTTATAATGACATCGAAACGAAGATTACAATTTTAACTTTTACTATATCGTAAATTCTTTATACTCGGTAGATATACGTATGTGATTATATTTAATTTGTACATTACGAACGACTTTACCTTTGTAACTCAACTAATTCATATTAAACAAAAAAGAGACATCGATTAATCATCTATAATACATACATACATACATATATATATATACATACATATATATATATACATATATATATATACATATATATATATATATATATATATATATTATATTAGTATTATTTCGTCATAAAATTATTTGTGATCTTAATATAAATTATAGCATAAATACAAAATATAAATATATATATATATATATATATATATTGTATAATAATTATAGCATAGAACTTTAATACAGTGAGTTGCGTAAGTGTAATATAGTACATACACATAATTATGTTACTAAATTTAAGTTTACAATGAATAAATTTGCGAAGGATGATAGTATAATCACAGAGAGTATAATTCTTACATACATACATATACAGACACACACATATATATATATAGTTTAAAAGTTAAATAATTTCTTATTAACACGTAAAAAAGAAAAAAAGAAAAAAAGAAACCAAAAAAAAAACCAAAAGAAAAGAGAAAAAGAAAAAGAAATAATAAAAATAAAAAGAAAATAAAAAACAAAAAGTAAATGAAAAGATTGACGTTTAAACGTATTAATAAACGAAACGCAGACATCATCGCCGTTGTCGTAGTCGTCGTCGGCATCTTCCCCTTTAATCGAGAAGGAAAAGAGTCTGAAATGAGCTGAACGAGCTAGGCGCATAATTCACGGCTCGGCTGCAATAATGTTTGCCTCGTTGTCACGGCACGGGGTGTCAAGGGGACGTCGCGGTGCGGTGCGATGCGGTATAGTGCGAGAAGGAATGATGAAGTGAGGGAAGAGGGGAGGGGAGGGGGGAGGGGGGCAGTCTGTCGTGGCGCCGCGCCGCGCCATCGTTTGTACGCGCGTATTACGAGAGAAGAGCGTGCACGGGCGAAAAAAGCAAGTCGTAGGCTTCGTTATCCATTCATAAATCCCATTAAAACCATTGAGAGAAAGAGAGTAAGAGATGAAGAGGAAGGGAAGGAAAGAGAGAGAGAGAGAGAAAGAGAGAAAGAGAGAGACACTTCAACTCTCTTTATTCAACTTCTATCTTCTCTCTTCACTATCTCTCTTTCTCTCTCTCTCTTTCTCTCTCTCTTCCTCTCTCGTTCCCTCTCTTTCTTTTTCTTCTTGTTCTCTTTCTCTTTTTCTCTTTATCTCTGCGCAATGTTCGCTACCTCACGCGATTTCTCTTCTGGCAGATCCATAATTAAGTCGTTATACCTCCTCTTTTATTTCTCCCTTTTGTCTTCTTCTATGATCCGCCAACAATAAATCGCAAATCGTACACCAACGGCGAAACGAGTGTTCAACACGTAGTCCTCTCTTCTCATTCTGTTTATCAACGAACCATTGAAAACAACATGCGACACATTCAAAACTCATATACATATACACGTGTATATACGTATGTATGTATGTGTGTATATATAATTGGAAGTAACAATGAATTAGTGTCTGGTAGTTTTTTCTCTTTTATTTTCAAAATTTTACATTAGCCTATCCTTTATAACGAATGTCTATAAAATAAATAATATAATAATGATTTATATATATATATATACATGTGTGTGTGTGTGTATATATATAATAATCATATTTAATAATAATCACATGTAAAAGAGAAAAATAAAAAAAATAAAATATATATATATATATATATATATATATATATATATATATATATATAAAAGAACATTTCGAAAATGCATCTATATTTTATTATATATTCTATATTATATGCACGGTATAGGACTGTCTATCTGTCACACATTTGATATAAATTTACTAAAATTCACATTTACATATTTATTACGAATATAGGGATTTGGAACATTTTCGTATAATATATATTCCCTCATTTCGTACGTAAACACAAAACGTAAACGCTCGTGCTTGCGTATAAACGCAAAGTAAAAAGAGGGAGATGGAGACAGAGTGAGTGAGAGAGAGAGAGAGAGAGAGAGAGAGATAAATAGATAGAGAGATATATAGAGAATGGAAGTGAAGAAGGGAAGGGGAAAGCCAACGCAGGTGTGTCCTGTCGTTGAGATACCCGCAAAGCTCAACGGTACACAAAAGTCGACCTATTTTCTGTCCTTCTCTTTCCTATGACTCGGTACACCTCTCATTCTTTCTCTCTCTCTCACACTCTCTCTTTCTCTTGCTTTTGCCTACTATCGCCATACTCTCTGTCTCTCACTCTCTCTCTCTTTCTCCCTCTCTGTCTTTCTCTCCCTTTCTCTCTTTTACCGCTTCTCGCATCTCTCTTCCCTTTCACAACCTTTCTTTCTCTTTCTCTTTCTCTTTCTCTCTCTCTCTCTCTCTCTCTCTCTTTTTCTCTCTTTCTCTCTCTCCCTTTTTTTTTCGTCGCTCGTTCGACCACCCACCTCCGCGGGAGTCGTCACACTTGTTGCACTCGAAGAAGGGTAAGAGGGAGGGAGGGAGGGAGGGAGGGTGGTTGGGAATACGAGAACACATAAGACAACACATATAAACGAGAATACATAACGAGAAAGCGAAAGAGAGAGAGAGAGAGAGAGAGAGAAAAAGAGAGTGAAATAACATGCTTGATACGTTCAACAATTAAATGCTTTCTCAAACGATGTAATCAAATTTGATAATGTATTGTACCTCTAGATATAATTTATAAAACTAGCAAACTTTTATTTTTCAAATAAATACATATATACTTACGTTGGATATGATGCATATATGTATGTATGTATGTATGTATGTATGTATGTGTATACGATTTTATCACCTCCAGTAAGCGAATATAATATAAGCGATATATATATATATATACCTATGTTATAAAAGTGTGATAACAACGAATTGATTTTATAAAAATAATCTCAACATGTTCGTACAAACGACACTATTTTGATATTCCTATTTGATAATATAATCTCAGCTAAAATTATTTAAAAATTAATATGATCGATGATAAGAGATCTTCGAAGAATACGGTAAATTACTATTTCTTAAATAAACATGTAAGAAATTGTAAAACTGCCTACATACATATCCACATATATATATATATATATATATATATATATATATATATATAAACATCGAAT